CCCCCCCCCCCGCTGCTCCAACCTAAGCTTTCAACCATCCTGCAAATTCCTCCCGCGAGAACCGATCGTAGAGGAAGCTATCACCCGCAGACACCCAACAGAAGGAATCGGCGCGAATGATTTACCTCGGAAACGGGCTGGCGCGCCAGGTCCAATAGCCAACCGCCCGCCCTCTGATTGGTGTTGCTCTCCGACAGCCGGGTGAAGAGCATCAAGCAGAGCGTGCTCCTCTCCTTGGCTGCCTCTGCCGCCGCTGTGTTACCCATCACCTGGTCCCCGTCCTCATCGTTACCGGCGGCGGCGGCGGCGGCGGCGGCGGCAGTCGGCGTAGATGACGATGCCGTTGAGGACGTGTTCGGAGGTCCGAGGACCGATGCGACAGCATGAAGGGCGGCCGCTTTCACGTCAACCTTAACGCAGTCGTGTTGTCGTCGTGATGCACGGCGGACCGTACCACCCGTCGATGGAGTGGGTGAACGCGAGCATGGTCAACGGGGAACCGCCATTGTAGATAGGGGGCGACGGGGGCGCGCAGGGGAAAAGTCATTACGGGCTTGGGGTCGCGGTGTATTTTTCGTACCTTTTGGCCGTCGAGTATGCGCAAAGAAACACTCATGCACACTCCTCTACTAAATCAAGGGTCTCAACAAATATGATAGGACGGAAATGGCTGCCTGATTACGAGCATTTTCACGTCCCATTGACTTAGTCCATGTCCGCGTTGCCCTTCCCAGACGAAGCTGTACTGTTAAATCTCCAACTTGAAGCCAGTTGTACATTCCGCTCGACACAAAGCGGCAATGGTACGCGTTCTACCGCTGTAGCGTCAAGACTGACCCCAATGGTGAACCACGTTTCTCCCCGCAGCAGCGGCCGGATCGCGGCTTGCCCAAGCGCGTAAAGCGAGGTCGTGTTTCGAGTGTAATGGCCATGGAAGCGCAGGGCTATACTTTAGTTCGCACTTGAAACGTACACGAAGCTGCGTTGGCTTGTGTGCCTGTGTCCGCTCCGCAGCATACGCTACTCTCTTCGACTGCAAGTAAGAGTATAAACGCCCTACCGGCAAATCTTTTCGCCCTCCGAAAGCAAGCGCGAACAATGAGCACAACCACGGTAACACCACCGGGCTGCTGTACCGCACACGTCAACCCTACTAGCAACAATCAAGTTGAGGTTCAAACTCTTGGATGGCTTCCTTCACATAGTCCCCAGAAAAAATCGTTGAAGGAGAGCCGTTCTGACGAAGGGTCCAAGATCGAACGTCGCCCCCATCAAAAGTCCGATTCCACATGTGGAGGCGCGTTTGTCGCTGCAAGACCTACCGCACATTCTCCAAAAACGTGGTCGTCGAGATGAGCCAGAGCGCTCGTGGTATCGTGCGGTGGTGCTTGGCGGTAGCGATTGCGAGAGAACACCACGCCCCCTACCTTATGTGCCGACAGCGTCAACCAAGCATCTAGCACGCCTTCCGAACCGCGCTCCTGGGAGAGCATCGCCCGCAGGGCCACGTCTGACGCGGCCGCCACCTCGGATGCCGCCCCCAGACCGGCCAGCTGTTACCTCGCAACGTTGATTGGACGAGAGCGACACCGTCAAGAGAGCGGCCAAGGGCGAAGGCCAAAAACGGCGGTGGTAGAGCGGCACGAGCGGTCGGTAACTTTGTGTGTTTCTTATCCTTCATGCGCATGTTTCCTTGTGGGGCATGGAAGAGATTTCTGCTGTAGCCGGGTCAGGTTTTGTTGCGGTACGAATGCATGCGGCTGGGGTGGAATCATCAATCTTCCCTGCGCTCGACATCGAGCGCTAGTCGACAGCGGAGTCGTCGAAGGAAACCGTCGTGCCATGACTGTTAAACGAGGATGGTTTGATGATGAAGTTGCTGCAGGGCTCGCGTCCGAATGAAGCAAGAACAGAAACACCATCTGCTCAGGCAGGCGGCGGGCCGTGTCTCTCCTTGGCCGGGACACTCCCGAAGACAAGAGCATCGCACCGCACCTCGTTTCCCACCGATTTAAGACATCGCTACGCCTCGTACAACGCGTACAACGCCGCCGTTTCCCACAATGGCATGGGAATGTGGTACGCCATCGACAACGTACGGGAAATTTGCGGAACCGTGGAACACCCAAGGACACCGACCCGGGTTGAGCAGCCGTGTTCAGTGCTTTGGAGGTTGTTCCGCCGAATAGAATTGTACGACCCCCCCCCACCCCGGTTTGTGACCCCCCCCCCC